CATAAGGGCAATTGCTCAGGGCCGATTGTGATCCTTGGGATGAAAGGAGAACCATTGTGTGCTGGAATAGACTGCAAAACAGCCCATATGTTTGCCTGGGTTGTGAACCCGCGCGCGAGCGGTCAAAAGGAGAGGTCTGGAACGAGGATGAAAACGGGGAGTGAGACGCGCACGCGACAATCACCCACAAAACCTTTCTGGATTGTCACGTGCACTTTTTCCGACAACCTTTCTGGAAATAGCTGTATACAATGTTCGCGTTCGCCTCGCAACACATCGTCATCGAGGTTCCTGAGCGCACGTCAGATTGCCCTGAACCAAAAACTTTGAAAAAAATTTCCCACAAAAAACACATTGCTTTACCCATGACGAGGGTAAGAGATAAGAGATTAACCTGACCCAGGAGCCGATTAAAGGATTTGGCGCTTTCGTGGTGAATCGGTGCGCGGTTCGTTGATGCGGGAGAGATTTGTGAGTTGGGTCTGCACACAGTCACTTTCCTTGCTTCGCTTTGTAGGAAAACAACACCAAACAAACAACGAGCAAAACCGTATAAAAGGGCCATGAATTGAGCCCAAGTTGCATAGAAAAAGCAACAAAAGGCCCAAGTTTAGGTAAGTACATTTTATTTCTATATTTATGCCTATCAGTTTCTACGGTTTAACAACTATATTGAATTTCTCATACAAAGTATTTAAATCGTTCGTAAAATGCAAAACAGTATCGAAACTAGTCGTACTTTTGCACCGAGCTTGGGCCGCCTGTGATTACACCATACTAGTTTTCGTCCACAGAACTAAAACCCTGCTACAGCTGCATTAGCCATTTTCTAAACGTGTAGGGGCCTGTGGCCCGTTTCTCGAAAGTCCCGGTAACTTTTCGGGCCCGAAATCAAATATTCAAATCGAAATATAAAGAATAAGAGCGCGGGTCCAAGCTAGCAAACTACTCCATTTCGTTTCATTAAATGGTAGTTTTATCATGTTAGATCCAAAACTATTGAAACCTCGATCTTTAATGTAAACGGCAACAGCTGTTAATTATCGGGACTTTCGAGAAACGGGCCCCTGGTTATAAATGCCTAAGAAAGATGAAAAATGAACGTCCTGCAGGGGTCTAGCGTGAGATTTTGAAAGTGTACGCTTGCGGAGGGGGAAGTTGAAGCGCCGAAGGCGGCCCAAGTAAGGGGGTTCTGGAGGAATGCTCCCCCAGGAAAGTTTTAATTTTAGGGTCTTGGAAACGCCATTTCTAGCGTTTCTCGCAGGACATTTCCGGTAAATTAATAAGCAGGAAAATGCAGTAGTTAGTTGGGTATTTTAGTGTTGTAGGTACGGTCACTTACGAGAGAAAAAAAGGCAAGTGACGCTGTCAGAATTATGGAATAATGGATAAAAGAAATACTAACACAAACTCACAAATATTGGGCAAAAAATGTATCAGTCACCCCGATTTAATGATAAACAAATGCATTTTCCGGAAATAAAAAATATATATATTCTTTTTCTATATTTTAGCTGTACATGTACGCAAGGCGTATGTGTGTATATGGACGCTACGCTCCTGCCCTGCCACATGAAAAAGCGTCCAAAATTAATTTCTTTTTTTTTTTAGAGGGAAGTCAGATCAGTTAAGCCAGCTTTTGATAATCACTCAAACAGGGGCTGCTTTGGTAAAGAAAAGAGGCGGATCAGGCCTGTCCTACCACAGATAAAAGATTCTATTTAGAAGGTAGTATGTCTGCGTTGAAACAAAAAACTCTCATGTAAAATTGTTCTATCTTTTATCACAATAATGATATAGCATTTCATTGACAGTTGTAGTTCCGGTGAAATTGGTTTGAGGCAAATCGCGCCCAAGAGACAGGATAAAACAAATTATGCCATTATAACGTCATTTCAGTGGTCTAGATACTTTCGTAGACAATGACTCTCGCCCAATCAAGGCGCGAGAAATCGCTGAGTAATTGTAAAAGAATGTTTGCCGCTTTTCTGCTAACAGGATTCAATGGATAAGTTCGGCTATTTGTATTCAGTTCCCTGTTCGTTTAGGTAATGGTTAATTACACGATTCAATACCGCACTCTACAAGCGAATAGGCCGGTTAATCTTACTCTGAATAGCCTCCGGTGCGACTGGACTTGTCTTAGCCTGCGTAGCACGCTTTTCGCATGATTTCGTTTGCTGCTCTCTCTTTAATTTTCGCCTAATATATAACTCGATTGGAAACTCTTGCTACGCAGGTGAGACTAATATCTCAAAACCTACGGTGGAGCTCACGTTTGCACTCGACTCGGCAGTAAAGGGTCTTCGAGACACGGGTTCCCCGTTCTTAGACGCGACATGCTGATGACAGCATCACTTCAGTCTTCTCATTTTAAGTGTCCGCTTAAAAAAGAAAAAAAAAAACAAAACAACAAAATCAGTTATTCAGACGTAGCATACGTCGCAGAAGACATTTTTGACCTACAATCTTGGACAAAATGGATGGGAGATTTATCCCCCCCCTCCCCACTAAATCAAGGATCGGAAATGGCGTTCTTTGGCTTTTGTGCGGCTTCATCCTTGACTTGGGAAGGGGGTGGGGGTTTGCTGTTCCATTTTATTATGTCCAAGATTGCACTCTTTTAAAAAAAAAAATATTTTGTCCAATATTGAAAGTTTTGAGAGCAAAACTAATAACTCCGCCGTATGGCAAGTACCTTACACATGCGCACAACCAAATCACCCTGGCAGTGGCAGCTATGGACAGCTGTTTCTCCCTTATTGGGGCTAAACTGTCGGATCTCATACGTGTTCTTCTTCTTATTTTTTTTGCAGATTCATTTTCGTCCAAAAATTAGCAATTTTCGAAGCTTATCTAATGAATCCCCTACGATTTTCTAAAGTTTAAATTTCACATTTCCCTCCCAAGTTAGGCTATTTTTCGTAGAAACAAAGGAAACCTAACATTTTCGGATTCAAAAATGTGATGGAGAGGGGTAGCAGAAAATGTTTCACTTTCATAAAACGTCAAATTGCATCTAAAATTTCCCGGAAAATAATAGGCAAGACCTTATAATTTCGAAAAGACTCAAGTTTCGCTAGGATGACCGAACACATAAAAATTTTATAGCGCCACTTACAATTTTTTCTACATATCTAAAAGTACTTTGGATAGCCTAAAAAGTGTTTTCAATATATTTAGGAGGTAACTGTCGTTGAGTGCCCCTGATGAATTTGCACACCATAATTTTTAGGGAGTTATCATAACTCCAAAAATGGAGTAAAAATTTAAGGTACAGGATATGCCCTTTTTTGGGGTTATTTTAACTCCTAATTTAACTCCGAATTTGGGGTCATTTTTACTCCTGAAAAAGAGTTCTTTTTACTCCCGGTCTAGAGTTAAAATAACTCCAAAACGGGGTTACTTTTACTCCTTACATGGGTTGTTTTTACTCTTTTTGGAGTTACTTTAACTCTGAAAGTGGAGTAAAAATTTTAGGTACAGGATAACCCCTTTTTGGGGGTTATTTTAACTTCTCGATATCTGGGGTCACTTTTACTCCTGAAAAAGAGTTCTTTAAACTCCTTTTTGGAGTTAAAATAACTCCCCAAAAATAACTCCGCTGTAACGAGTTAAATTAGCCCCATTAGAGGAGTTATTATAACTCCTTCAAAATTACTGTGCAAGGTCACTGTGGCAATCACGGTACAACAAGCGATCACAAACGCGGTTACCGTTCAAACAAGTCGCACAATTTTATACCACAATGCGAAATCAAATCCAGCTACGGGAGTCGTTTCTTTGACTGTTCATTCTGTGGCAGGGTTTCGTCTTCACTTACTCTCGGGAGTCACGTGAAACGATCCCATTCTGTTGAGACATGAATTAAAGCAACAGTTACTGACAGTGAACGTTTTAAACTTAAGTTATATACGCCACTTGCACATCTACTATAATGCATCTTATTTGCTCTCGCCAAAATTCGGCATAACCTCTGTTTTTCATTTCTCCTGGATATTACAGCCATCCCAAGAGAAATTGAGAACAATGCTTGTGCAAATTTTGGGGGGCAAATGAGATGCATTATGGGAGATGTGCAAGTGGCGTATGGCGTAACCGACGTGCGTCAGAACATTAGTCTGCTACACAGCCGTTTTTAGGGTCGTCACGCAACGCTCCTTCCCACGTTAGCGTTGCGTGAAGACACCAAAAACGGCTGTGTAGCAGACTACAGAACACTTGGCAGGTTTAAATTGCTAAATGCCAATGATTCTCAGCGATGCTAGTTTTAAGTTTGCAATTTCAATCTACCCTGGTCATTTGCACAGTGTTATTGAGTAAGGTAGGGGAAATGTTCGCTAGATCCCAATTGAAGTATGCAGTTCCTGAAGAGTGTCGCCCGCGCAGTTCATGTAAGCAAGAAAGGAACTTGGCTTAACATAAATTTCATGATTATTTCACGATACTGAACGCTCATTCTTCAGTTGCTGAAAACGAGGCCATAATTTCAAGTTATGAGTAACTGTTTGGACGGTCTCGGGAAGTAGAAGCAATATTCATGGAAAGTATTTTCTAGTCCTCAGGTGGATTACAGACCTGTTTTCTGGGCGTACTTTTGAAAACAGAGGCCTTAGGCAGTATGAGGCAAAGACAAACGTAGACTGAGTTCTCAGTGGGTGTGTACGTGTTCCAGTTTCAGTCTATTCTTGGTTCATATTTTTATTCCCCCTTGTCCTTGTATATGGAAAAAGGTACAAAACAAAGCAAAATAAACTTAGACCCAAGGACAAAATTAAATAACTTTGAATTGAACTCCTTAGCGTGTAATAAAAGTCAAATAGGCCAGTTTCGAATTATCAAAATTCATACTTAACTCCGAGGCTAAGGTGAATAAGACGGAACAGGTGAATTATCTATTCATGCACATCAATGCCATTTCTTTTGTTGTATACCCCCTTAGACGCGGAGTCAGCTATGAATCATACTTTTGATAATTTAGAAATAGGCCGATTGTTTTTTCACATAAATGCATACCTTTTCTTGTCGAAATTAAAGGTCACGTTATCCCCAATAAGCATAAATGGTGCCCACTGCTGCACTTTCGAAAAGGGGCCAGCTCTCATCCACTTCATAGTCTTGTGAAGAGATTCACTAGCACTTTCCCCACGAACAAGGTGATAGTAGAAACGAAACATGAAATGCATTGTCGCTTCATCGTCTACCGCCCACCGTGCCGCCAACACAGAGCGTGCACCAGATCCTAAGAACGCGCGAGCCATTCCAACCACTCCCTCAGCTCTGATCTCTCCATCTGCAGTGTGACAGCAACTAAGGACTACCAGCCTGGCTCGCAGTCGAACTTTTGAAATATCAGCCATTGTCAATAAGTAGTCCTCTTCTTGTGGAGTTCCGTCTATGGGAAGTGGCCTAGCAAGATAAATTTCTCCGGTTTTGGGGTTACCGTGGGCTGCGAAATGTACAAGACTCATAGAATGTATGCTGTGAAGAACCGCCTGCTTTGTTGCTTCCTTTCCCAATAAAGTTTGAGCTCCAAGAATTCGTCCTAGCATCCTTGCTTCTTCTCTTGCAAATGGCAATGACGATCTATACACCTTACTGCCTTTGTAGAGCACCCAACCAACGTCAGGATCACCTACTATCAGTGCTCCAGTCTGACTGTGATAATCTGCTGGACTGTTATGAATGAGGTTTAGAGTTGTCAAAGAAGGAACAATTCGGATTCTGAAAGTCTCAGACAAATAGCTTCCATCTTTATCCTGTAATGCTTCAAACGGAACTTTGAACAAGAATGGGTCGGGAACAATCATGACTTCGGTTTCACCGTCAAGGAGGTCAAAAACAGGAGCGATGATCATTTTGTAACCGTCGGCCAGTGTAGGGTCCGAGTGCACCTGCTGGTCCTCCTCGTCGTCTACTTCTATCAGGCGTGATGCTGTGTGGTATGATATACGCTCGGGATGGTTAGCATTTGATGGGCAAGACGATTGATTCTCGCACATCTCTGGAGCTACGCCGTAAAACTTTCTGTAGACTTTGTCTGCAAACATGTCTTCTACATCTCTTACTGTTGCTTTGTTATTTAAACATTCATTAATGTCTACTTGTCGGAAACCTATTATCCTCTCTTCTTTAAGAATCCAAAAAAACAACGTTTCTTTCAAACTGGAAATGTATAGACAAACACAACTACTTTCCTTCTTCGTGATGGCTGCAGCACCATTGGCCTCGAGCAGATGACTGAATACAACTTGTTCTTCCACAGAGTACTGAGCTAACATCAAGTCTGCCAGGGCTCTGGCTCGCCCAAGCTCCAAAACGTCGAGACCTTTATCAAAATCCCCAGTGATACAAAGAAAAAAACTAAGGAACTGGTACAAATCTTTGTGCTTGTCAAAAAACAATATCTTAAAGCGTTCATTGTTTTTCATGAAACTTTGCATTTTCTCGCAGTTGCGAACGTTGGTAAAGAGATGCGATTGAGCATCATGAATTCTGCCTTCAGCTAGCAGCACCAAAGAGAGTTTGCCGTTGGCCTCTAATTCACCCTCAATGCTTCCAATGTCTCTATACAGTGTGACTGCCTTTCCATAAAACTCTTTAGCCATAGAATAGTCTTTTAGGCGTAGGAAAAGTCTTCCTAGGCATTTGTAACACGATGCCTCACCTTTTCTTTCACCGATTTCTTTCATGATTTCCAGACCTTCTCCGTAATATTCCTTGGCCTTAGTATACTCTCCAAGAGAGAGAAAAAAAGATCCTAAGCTTACATAGGATAGACCTTCTTCCGATTTGCTGCCATCTTCTTTACTCATCACAAGTGCTTTTTCATGATATTCTTTTGCCCTGGCATATTCACACAGGGACTGGAAGACATCGGCTAGTCCTCTGTAACATAAAGTTTCCAGTTGTTTGTTGACGATTTCTTTTGCGATCGCAAGAGCCTTCTCAAGATATTCTTTGGCTTTAGCATTGTCTCCAAGAGAATGAAACACTTTTCCTAAGCTTTCACAAAATGTGCCCTCTGCGTCTCTGAAGCCAATCTCTTTATATATCGCAAGTGCTTTTTCATAATAGTCTTTGGTCGCGATATAGTCACCCAGAGACGCAAAGACAGATCCTAGCTGCCCGTAACATAATGCTTCAACACCTTTGTCACCGCTTCCCTTACTGATTCCAAGAGCTTTCTCATGACACTCTTCGGCCTTTGCTTTTTGTCCTAAGGAATTTAACACACACGCGAGGTTTATATAACAGATGGCCTCTTGTTCTCTGGCACCAATTTGTTCACGAATCGTGATTGCTTTTTCAAAATATTCTTTAGCCGTGGCATATTCACCCAAGAACTGAAAGAGAACGCCCAGGTTTCCGTAACATTCTGCCTCACCTGCTTTGTCACCGTTTTCCCTTCTGATTTCGAGAGCTTTTTCATGACATTCTCTGGTTTTTATTTTTTCTCCGATGAAAAGAAGTACACGCCCTAGCAATCCATAACACATGGCTTCTCTTTGTCTCAGACCAATTTCTTTATGGATCGCAATTGCCTTTTCATAGCTTTCCTTAGCCGAGGCATATTCACCCTGGGCGAGAAAGACATTTCCTAGGTTTTCATGAGATAAAGCTTCACCTCCTTTGTCACCATATTTTTTCCTTATTGCCAGAGCTTCCTCATGACATTCCTTGGCCTTACTATAGGCTCCGAGAGAAAGAGATGCGACTCCTAGGCTTTCGTAAGAGGAAGCCTCCCCTTGTCTACTGCCAATTTCTTTATTGATCGCAATTGCGACCTCGCAATGTTCTTTCCCCGAGAGAAATCCACCCGCGGAATGAAACTGGATTTTTCCTAAGATTTCGTGACACGATGCCTCACTTCTTCTGTCCCCTGCTTTTTTGCTTGTTTCAAGAGCTTTTTCATAACACTGTATTGCCTTAGTATTCTCTCCAAGGGAGGTCAGTAAAACTCCCAGGAGAGAGTAACATTTAATCTCTCCTCGTTTATAGCCGATTTCCCTATTTATTGCAATTGCTTTTTCATAATATCGTTTCGCCATGGCGAAATCGCCAAGGGCGTGAAACGCGTCTCCAAGGTTTCTGTAATCTTCTGCTGTTCCTTTCCTATCGCCAAGTTCCTCTCTAATCACAAGCCCTTTCTGAAAATATTCTTTAGCCTTTGCAAATTCACCGAGAAAATTAAAAACATTTCCTATGTGCCCGTAACACTCGGCTTCCATTTTCTTGTTCTCGATTTCCTCTGTGATTGCAAGTGCTTTGAAAAGATATTCCTTAGCCTTGCAACAGTCGCCGATTGAACAACATAAAGTTCCAAGGTGTATGTAATCCTCCATTTCTCGTTCCCTGTGACCAATTTCTTGATTGATTGCAAGTGCTCTTTTAAGGTACTCTTTACTTTTGGGAAATTCACCCAGAGCCTCCCAGACTACTCCCATGTTACCGTAGCAAATGGCTTCGTTTTCCCTGTCCCCATTTTTTTCATGTATCTCCAAGGCAATTTGGAAATACTTTATAGCATGGTTATACTTTTCTAATTGGAACCAAACGTTTGCTAGGTTTTCGTTGCATGAAGCTTCCTTCTTCTTGTCACAGACTTCTTCAAAAATAGTACGTGCTTTTTCAAAATATTCTTTAGCCTTGTCGTAATCACAGAGAGATTGAAACACGTGTGCTAAGTTGACGCAATTTTGTGCCTCATTGTTCCTCTGGCCTGCTACTTTTCTCAACACAAGGGCTTTTTCGAAAGACTTTTTAGAGTTGTCTTTTTCATTCAACGACCAGTACAGAGTTCCTAGTTTTTCGTTGAACCGGGCTTCAGCGCTTTTATCGCCAAATTCTCTTACAGTAACAGATCCTTTTTCAAAACATTCTTTAGCCGTGTTATAATCACCGAGTGACTGACACACTTTTCCAAGTCTTAGATAACATATAACTTGTCCTTTTCTGTCATCAGTTAATTTCATGATGGAGAGTGTTTCCTCGAAAAGCCCTTTTGCTTCCCTGTTATTACCTTGCTGTTCATAAAGCTCTGCCATTAAAAACAGAAATACCTCTTCTTTGTGGTTTATTTTGCCCCTGCTGCGGAGTACATCCAGACGATTTCTTCCGAATTCTATAGCACTTTTGAGATCACCAATGAGACAGTACGCTTTCAACAAATTAACAGAAAGCACCATCTCGAAAAAAGGGACTCTGGAGCCGAGGAGAACCAAGCATTCCTTATAAAATTCGATGGCTTTTTGAATACGATTAGTGGCGATAAGAACACCTGCAACGAGCATTCCAATATATAGGGCTTGCCATACGACCTTGTCTTGCACAGCTTCGGGGGATGGTTTGTCCATAGCAGAATCTGAACAAAGGAAGGGGAAAAACATAAAATAAACAAAGGATTATCTAAAGTGGCGTCTCAGTGCACAGAGTGCCTGGGTATATTTTTCCGCCATACGTAACAAAAACCTTAATAGATAATTAAGCTGCAAATGCATTTCCGATGATGCGCAAGTAATAATGACATTAATTGTTATTTTTTAGTATCGGAATTTCAATAAACCATCGCTCCCATATTCATTCCTATAAGCAGGCACTGCTGTAGAAATATGCCTCATAAGCCCGAGGAAATAAGCCTTAGTCCCCGCCTCATAATCAGGATTAGACGCTATGTTAGGGAGTTGGCTCTGCCAGACGGTTGCCCACCGGCACACACTCTGAACCTTTTTTGATGCTGCTGCCGACAATTTTGCAGTTATAACTACAATGGAGGTAAAAAATGTTGGGACCTTTCCAGTGAGATTACTAAAACTAGCGACCCCTCCCCTCCCACCCCCAAACAAAGTTGAATTTGGAGCAAAATGAGTGGAAATGAGTGGTTTTTTCGGCCACAACATTGCTGGGGGAAGTGGGGGGGGGGGGGGGGGGGGGGCGAAAAAAAAGGGGGGGGGGGGGGGGGGGGGGGCGACCGAATGAAACCAAAGCCGAACAAAAAATT